CTCTTTTAAAATATATTTTTTATTGATTTGAGAGAGGAAGGGAGAGGGAGAGAGATAAAAACATCAATGATGAGAATTAGTGGTTGGCTGCCTCCTGCATACCCCTACTGGGGATCAAGCCTGCAACCTGTGCATGTGCCCTGGCTGGAATCAAATCCAGGACCTCTTGGTCCGTGGAACGACACTCAGTCCACTGAGCCACAACAACCGGGCCTTATCTCTCTTTTATACATGTGGGAACTATGAATTTGAGAGGTTAGGAAACTCATGAAAGTCACACAGCGAATAACAGAAAGGTAGTATCTGATTTCAAAGTCTGTGTCCTTTCCCTCTGCCTCTGAAACAAGTGTCGAGGTAGTCTTCAGCTCCAATGTGCATACATGTTTTTTTTAAAATAAAGTTTTACTGAAGTATACATACCTGCAGGAAAATGTATAAATTGTTAGTGCAGCTTGATGAATTTTTACAATATAAATATACCTGTCTAACCAGCCCCCAGATCAAAAAACAAAACAAGCCTGACAGGTGTGGCTCAGTGGTAGAATGTTGACTTATGAACCACAAGGTCATGGTTCAATTCCCAGTCAGGGCACATGCCTGGATTGCGGGCTCGATCCCCAGTGTGGGGCGTGCAGGAGGCAGCTGATCAATGGTTCCCTCTCTCATCATTAATGTTTTTCTCTCTCTCTCTCCCTTTCCCTTCCTCTCTGAAATCAATCAATCTATCTATCTATACACACACACACACACACACACACATACACACACACATACATATATTAAAAAAAGAAGAATCTGCAAGCCTTACTCTCTGGCACATTTAAGATCTTGCTCCTCAGCATATGTCCAGTTTGGCTCAAATAAACTCATAAAAATTTTACAGGTTTGACGTTTCTCACATTGACATATATATTATCTCTGACTCTTACGAAAGCCCCAAAATGTAAATATCTCCATTTCACAGGTAGGGGAACTAAGGCTCAGAATCAAGTGACTTGTCCAACACCACACATTAATTATGTAGGTGTCTGAAAAAGCTAGTATTCAATATGAGATTTGCTACAACAAAACATGTGCTATTGCTACTAAGCATGATGCCTTTGGCAATAGCAAGTTGCCTAACGTCTGTTCAGGACAAGCTAAGCTTGAAATACTAGGGCTGAACAGGAAATGAAATTGTGAAGTCAAACAAAAGCCCAGGCATCTTTTAAAAAAACCACACACTCGAGAAAAAGCACACAACTCCCTTCTAACCAATGAAAACTCATTGCAAAAGGGAAAGTACTGCCTTTAAAAGACGCACTTTGCCCTCAGGAGGTGTGGCCGGTAGGCTTCCTCAAGTAGGAGTTATTATCTAACCACAAACCAACTGTCTATCATTACACTGCACTTTAGCAGACACCTATGATTGGCCAACAGAGAGCAGCATTTGAATTTAAAGATCCAAATAACTACAGGTTATTACTTCAGTGAGAAAGGTAAAGCTTTGTTGTTAGAGGAAACTTAAACCGGGGTCAGAGATTAGGCACTAAAGCCCTGTAGTAGGGTAAAACTATTACCTCGTAACTGGTGTTATTACTAACACATTCTTCATCAAATCAGCCCTTATTTTAAGTAAAACCTATTGAAAAGATATGCAAAACCTTGTGAAGTCATTGTGTAAACTGCAAAGGATTACAAAAAGGCTAGTAATACAAATATTTATAGTTTAAGAGTCAATTTAAAGTATTAATCTTTAAATAGAAAGCAAAATTTGCTTGTCTATACCAGGAAAGAGTGGCAGAGTCAGAAGCAGCCACAATTCCTGATGCCTTCTTTCCTACTCATCACTAATCACATGTAAAGTTAATGTTCCTGTCTCCCATTTTCCCTGTGCTGTTCCATTGGACACCAAGTACACTGTATCCTCAGTACTTTGCTTATTCTGGAGAAGACATACATAATAAAACCTATAAAGGAAAGGAAAAAGTAGACCAGATGACTTTATGGAAATGAAACCATGGTCTCAAGTTATAGACAGAAAAACTGCATTTTCTTTCCTTCATTGAGTCTGGAATGCATCCTCAGCTTAATAAAATAGAAAGATAAATGAAAAAAAATTTTTTTTCAGCCCCAAGTGGATCAGATGAAACCTGAGCATCAGGTTTCATCCCCAGTTAGGTAGTATACAGAAGGCAACCGATGATGTTTCTCTCTCTCTCCCTTCCTCTCTCTAAGCATGTCCTTGGGTGAGGATTAAAAATATATAGCCATGCTGGTTTGGCTCAGTGGCGAGAGTGTTGGCCTGCGGACTGAAGGGTCCTGGGTTTAATTCTGGACAAGGGCACATGCCTGGTTGCAGGCTTGATCCCCAGTAGGGGGCATGCAGGAGGCAGCCAATCAATAATTCTCTCTAATCATTGATGTTTCTCTCTCTCTCTCCCTTTCCCTTCCTCTCTGAAATCAATAAAAAAATTAAAAAAATATATATATACACACATAATATACATATATATACAAGTTCTTCTGACAAATTCTGCAAAATAGAAAGCACTAAAATTTTAGGTAAGTTGAAATGCTGAAAAGAACTTTTATAACTCAATCATATTTCCTTCAGCAATAGCTTCTATTATAGAAAGTTTAATTAATAGGTAAGGCTGAAAATGACATCATTTCAAATTTTATACCCTGTATTACATTCATTAAGTAAAGCACTATGGAACTACTTAGCCACCAAACCAGTAATGTAGAATATTCAGGGTTGTTTTTTTGTTGAAACTCACTTTATTAAAAAAAAAAAAAAGTCATGAACAATAAATTACAATCATTTCCCCCCCTTTTATAAATTCTTCATAAAATATATTTGACAATTTTAAAAGAAAATTTCAAAAGTTGCTTTCATTTTTGAAGTGCTGATGACTTATTTTTTGACCATTTTGTCATGCTGGTGAATTATTTTGTAGCTGCTACAATAGTTTGATAAACATTTTACAGTTAAAAACAACAACAAAGAGGAAAAAACAGACCAGGAGAAAAACTATTCAGTGTGCTATTTATCTGACACTTAACACTTACTTCATCATAATGACAAAGTATCCCTTAGCACCAAAAAATCTACAGGAACCCCATCTTTCTAAGTGACAACTAGTGCAAAATAACATTCTAGGAACTAACTGTACAACTCCATATTTTAACTGGTCACAGCTGCCTACAAGCTTATTTTAAATATTTGGTCTTTTTTCAATTAAGACAGATTTCATAAAACACTATAAAATCATGGCAAGAGAATCTATGAAGAATAATTGTTTATTGAGTACCTATTATGGGCAAGGCACTGTGCACAAATTCTTTCTTTCATTTTTCCTATAGCAAATATCCAAGAATTTTCAAGTATTGCTAATCTCTTGTATTTCTTACTCCAGGCTGGAAAAGACCTATGGCTATACACCATTTTAAAATTGTCATTTTATCAACTGATCTTTAGTGCTGAGCACACAGTAGGTACTTAATAAATACCTCCTGATTGAAAGAATAATGACAAAGAATTTACTGTCATTTTGCTTGGTATCTAAGGCTATTTTAGGATACAAAGACTTGAGAAAATTCCAGAAGAAACTTCCTGACCACCTCACACCCTTACCACCAATGAAAGAAAAGAATTTTACCTCACAGGTTAAATCTTTCGAAATAAATTATAATCATTAACTTTTTAAATGAAGCAGGACCAAAAACTTTGTACTTAGGAAAGGATGGCTCCAAGCACATAGATATTTGAAGAGCTTACCATCACCTGAACTGTCATGAATCTCTGTCATGTTATTGACAGACATTACATTACAATGCTGCTCTTTACTTCCAGTAACTCAATCCCCTTGGCCAGATCTGTGTTATACTAATTTGATGATCTAGACTCGAGGGTCAATTATCATGAGGTGCCAATGTATTGTTCCACCTCTTATCGTCAAAGTGATGTTAAAATGATTTTCTGTCTTCATTTTAAAAGACTTTATTTCAATAAAACCTTTTAGTCCAAGTTTTAAACTTCTGGATCAAGTAACACACATAGTTCAGAAAGTTTATACACTCTAATCTCTTTGTGCTTTTTTACCTTTCATAGTCCCCTGAACAAATTTTAAATAAGAAAAAAAATTGATAGCAATATTCCAAAAGTTGTGTAAGTTCGAAAGGAACATCTGAAGAGATTATGCAAACTATCCATTATTTCAATATTCTAACTTTTAAAAATACTTTTGACCAAAGGTTCTAGTGCTTTATAAACATCAACCTAGATACGGTCTTAAGGTCTCTAACCTTGAAGGCTAATGTTCTGTTTTAGGAAAATTTTCTTTCCTTAGATATTAACTATCTGCTTTTACAGAAAAACTGGAGACAACCATGTAGAGTTAAAATCAAATTGACTTCAAGAGGAATAATGGTCTACTGGCTTTTGACATAGACCATACCAATGATTGTATAAAATCTATAACTTTTCTACTTGAAAGATATAGTTGATGTCACAATATATTATCCATTTGCCAAACTATATAGGTATCATCTCCGTTAGAAAAAGGTGATCAATATTTAATACAACTATATTACTACCATTACTGTGTCAAATTAGAAGAGAAAACAGCATTAGTACAAAATGAAAGGAATTCCAGTGATGAAACAAGAGACGATTCAAGGTAGGTAATGTGAGGATAGAGCTCATTTGGTTTCTTCAATTTTATGCTGAGGCTTAGACAAATTCTTGAAATAAAAAAAGTAATATATCAAGTACTATAGTACATATATATAGCAATGATTTCAGAAATAGAAGAATCCTGTGTTCAGATTGCAGATGCTCAAGGGCAAACATGTCCCAATGCAGTGGTTTGATTAATTGAATGCTTGGTTACCTAACGAAGGTATGACTGAATCAATATCCTTGCCAACCTGCTACCACACAACTGCATGGCTAGTTCTACTCCTGCAGCTACAGGGCACTGGAGAGCTCAGACATATTCGGCAGCTTTGATCACTTAGTTTCATTTATGTTTAATCAGATTTTAGGCCCTCCAAAATAATGCCTTTAAAAAAACTGTATAATTATAAAAATAAAGAACTTAGTATGATTTCATTAGAGGGAGGGATAGGGTAGGAAGATGAAGATTCTTTTATTTTTCATCACTGATTTCACCAGCAAATCTCAAAAACCCAAACCTACATCAAATAATTTAAACAGAAGTGGCATTTTCTTCATATGGAATGCAAAATGCACACATTCACATACTTACATATACATAAATATATACATATATGCTTCCTTTACAAAGCTTCAAAGGTTGCATTACCAGCACGCAAACCTCTTCTTCCATGGAAATTGCTAATACTGACAAGGAATGTCTAAAATACTTAGAGACATATTTCCAGAAAACTGGATTCTCTTTTCTTCTTGGCTCTTAAGAGAATTTTCCTGCCAAACTTCTACCAATGATCATTAAAAAAAAAAAAAATTTACACCCACATTGGTAATACATTTAAAACATACGACAAAGTGGCCAGCTCAGACTTAAGAAAAATGAGGAAAAAAATATCCCACAATAAATTCTAAACCCTTAGAAGGTGAGGTTCAGCTTTTTATATTCTTTTTCAGCCACATTATGTTGCATTACTGTGAAAACAGAAGCAGCATATCATCCAAGATATTTGCAAATAATGTATGTGTCACGTTTCCCAGCTGCTATCTTTAAATGCAATTTGTACTAATCTGAGTTCTAGTTCAAAAGCATCTGGACGATCCTGAGGGTTTGCAGCCAGCATTTCCTTAATCAGTTGTTTCATTCGCCCATTCATAGACTTTTTCTTCACAGGAATAAGAAGTTCCATTTTGGGATTTTCCAGAAGTGCCTCCCCAACAGGCACAATCTCAGTTCCTTGTTTCACATAACTCCCCAAGAGTTCCTTCTTTGTCTCTGTGTCTATGAATGTGATCCTTTCCAGCATCGCCCAGATGATAATCCCCAGAGCAAAGATGTCAGCCTTTGCTGTGTAATGTCCCTCCCATACTTCAGGAGCCATGTAGAAATCTGTTCCACAGGCTGTGGAAAGGAAACACTTGTTTACACTGACAGGTTCTTCTGGGTTCTGCCCAGAGGCTGAACACACTTTACTTAGACCAAAATCAGCCACTTTCAGTGTGGGTTCCAAGTCACTGGTATCCAACCTGCTTTGAGAAATCAAGATGTTATCAGGTTTAAGATCGCGATGGATGATCTGGTTTTTATGCAAGAAAGCCAGGGCACTGCTCAGCTGAAGCATGAAGCTGGTGTTAGTTTTACGATTGGGTTTCCTGGACAACAGATACTCATTCATATCTCCTCCATCACAAAAATCCATTACAAACCACAAGTAATAGGCGCTTCTGGGATCAAAGGCAATTTCTCCTTTTAATGAAGTCTCTACGAGCTATAAGGAAAAGAAAACAGTTTATAATCATCTGCATAGTTTATATAATTCAGCTATAAAAAGAGTAACCGGTTAAGTTAGTCTCCAATTTTATGTGGATATTCTGTAAATATTTTATTTGGTCAGTGTTTTCATATGTGCATGTTATTTTAAACTTCAGTACTTGAAACTGTCACTTTGTCCCTAATGAGTACAAACACCAAATCTCCAAGTCAAGAGCTAAAAACTTATTTACAAATAGCTTTATTTTAAAAAGTGTCTAACTGCATGTGTCAATGGAGTTGAACTCTACCCACTTAGCTAATAGCTTCATGAAAAGATTGATGTTTAGCAGTTAGATCCTGGGAGATTGCCAGCTGGCATATAAACATCAATTAGGAAATGATATTAAATGAAACTGCCTGAAATACTCTTCTTCCTCATTGCACATAGACTATCAACATCATCTAAAAAATCGAAAAAAAAAAAATGATCAAGGAACAACTTGTTATTACAGAAATAAAGGGCTCCTGTAGTCACTGATGAAAAAAGACTGACATTATTCTATACACTTCTACAACCAGAATGCAAATGTTGGCTCTTTGTATCACAGGATGGTTTCTAAAAATCCAATTTATAAAAATTATATTTGCATTTTGATATAAAAATTCAAATTGGAGTTTGTATATTTCTTTGATACAAGCTGAAAATCTGGAATAAATCACTGTTTTATTTGTTATTATCTAATTATAATTCTCCTATTATCTGAAATTCAAGAGTATTAATTATTTTACTGAACATGAACTACCATTTTAAAATACAGGTATATAGCCCTGGCTGGCGTGGCTCAGTGGTTGAGCATTGACCTATGAACCATGAGGTCCTGGGTTCGATTCCCAGTCAGGGCACATGGCCGGGTTGTGGGCTGGATTCCCAGTGTGGGGCATGCAGAAGGCAGCCAATCCATGATACTCTCTCATCATTGATGTTTCTATCTCCTTCTCCCTCTCCCTTCCTCTCTGAAATTAATAAAAAAATATTTAAAAAATAAATAAAATACAGGCATATAGTGCTTTGAAAACATATGTCCTATGGTGTCCTCTTTAGAACCATGGGTTTAAAAGAAACTCAGTAGGGAAGCCGAAGCGTTGTTGAAGAGTAAGTAAACTGCTAACTTCACATTCAAATCTACGGGTACTTCCTCTTATCACTTTGGCGGGCAGAAGCAAAGAACAATTCTCCGTGCCATTTCCCCCCATGGCAAACAACAGTAATTGCAAAGGTCTGCTAATGTCCTTTTGGCCTGTATTTTCTTTGTTGCAAGTGTTTGCCAGTGAAGACAGAAAATGAAAGACTATATCATAGTTATTTACCAGGTGCACTATTACTAAATATGCTGAGAGTAAAGACCAATACCATCACTCTTACTTCACTCTCTTTTTCTGCCTTTACTCTCAAAAGCAAACTTCCTAAACAGTTTAAGCAATGTGAAGTCCCAGCATTCAAAGAATGGTTTAGAGCAGTGGTTCTCAACCTTCCTAATGCTTCGACCCTTTAATACAGTTCCTCATGTTGTGGTGACCCCCAATTTCATTGTTACAAAATGAACATAATTAAAGCATAGTGATTAATCACAAAAACAATATGTAATTACATATGTGTTTTCCGATGGTCTTAGGCGACCCCTGTGAAAGGGTCGTTTGACCCCCCAAAGGGGTCGCGACCCATAGGTTGAGAACCGCTGGTTTAGAGTAAGACCAGATAGTAAATACATATTTTAGGCTTACAAGCCACATAAGCTCTCTCTGTTCCATGTTGTCCTTTCATTTTTTTTTAAATTCTTAAAAAATGTAAAAACTATTTTTAGCATTTAGGCCATACAAAAACTGGTCTAGGGCTATAGTTTGAGAGCTATAAAAATTGAGAGCTATAGCAATACAGAGCCCAATTTGCTTATTTTTATGTGTAGAGGATGTTAGTCACTGGCTCTCTTGCCTAAAATCCTTCAATAGCTTTCCTGTTTTCTTAGGATATAGTCTAGTAGGCTCTTTAATAAGGGCTAAGGGCTCCTGTGTGCTCTGACCCCTGCTGAGCTTTCTAGCCTCATCTAAAATAACTCATCCTGCCCTACCTGGTTTTGCTCAGTGGTTAGAGTGTTGGCCTGCAGACTCAAGGGTCCCAGGTTCGATTCTGGTCAAGGGCATGTACCTTGGTTGCGGGCACATCCCCAGTGGGGGGTGTGCAGGAGGCAGCTGATCGATGTTTCTCTCTCATGGACGTTTCTAACTCTCTATCCCTCTCCCTTCCTCTCTGTAAAAAAAATCAGTAAAATATTAAAAAAATAAAATAAAATAACTCATCCTAGCCCAGTCGGTGTGACTCAGTGGTTGAGCGTTGATCCAGGAACCAATATTCCTGGTCAGGCTGGGTTGCAGGCTCAATTTCCAATGTAGGGCATGCAGGAGGCAGCCGATCAATGATTCTCTCTCATCATTGATGTTTCTATCTCTCTCTTCCTCTCCCTTCCTCTCTGAAATCAACAGAAATATATTTAAAAAAAATAACTCTTTCTTTACACTAAAGTCTTACTATCTCCTTTCAGTTCTTAGAATGTGTCATACTTTTTGCTCCAATAGATTTGTATGCATAGTTCTTTCTGCCTAGGAAGTTTTCTTACTCACCTGGCTAATGCCTCTTCACCCTATAAGTTTAGTTAAAGCAGTTAGTACTTACTGAACCCCAGGATGTCAGTTTCCCTATTATATGTTCCTATGCCATCCTGTACTTCTCACTCATGACACTTATCACAAGTAGGCAGAGTGGCCACTAAGTTCTTATGCATGAGATTGTGCCCTCTGTTAATTACTTGTTTTACATTTTCTTCTAGGTGAGGTGTTTAGATATCAGGAACTGACTTTTTTTTTTTTAAATCCTCACCCAAAGATATTTTTTCTTTCTTTTTTTCTTTTTTAAAATATATTTTATTGATTTTTTACAGAGAGGAAGGGAGAGGGATAGAGAGTTAGAAACATCGATGAGAGAGAAACATCGATGAGCCGCCTTCTGCACACTCCCTACTGGGGATGTGCCCGCAGCAAGGTACATGCCCTTGACCGGAATCAAACCTGGGACCCTTGAGTCCGCAGGCCGACACTCTATCCACTGAGTCAAACCAGCTAGGGCCAAAGATTTTTTCATTGATCTTTAGAGAAAGAGTGGTAGGGGGAGGGAGGGAAAGAAAGAGAGAGGAACATTGATGGGAGAGACACACACCGACTATTTGCCTCCCACAGTCGCTCCAACCAACCAGGGCTGGTTATCGAACCTGCAACTGAGGTATGTGCCTTTGACTGGGACTCAAACCTGCAACCCTTCTGTCCTCTGGCGGATGCTCTAACCACTGAGCAACCGGCCAGGTCGGGAACTGATTTAATGATTACAACAGACAACAAAGAAGTTATCTGGAAAAACAAGGAGAAAAATAAAAGATTTGTATAGAGAATTGAGAAGACTACGCATAGGGACTCTGTGGCCACTCTTTAGATTTAATTATCTTTACCAGATATAAATATTGGTAGTCTTTACTAGATATAAATTTAGATAAACTAAATGTGTTGATGAATATCTGGTTAACTAAACAAATCTATAGAAAAGACAATTTTAGTAGGGCTACCTAGCATTGAGTACTCCTATATGTTAAGTACTGTATCTGCATCACTTCTAATTTTGACAACTTCCATGGAAGGTAGAAATTATTATTCCTATTTTACATACAAGAGGTAGATGCTGGGAAAAGTTAAATTATTTATTCCAGCTTATACACCTGGCAAAAAGTACCACAAGTAAAACACAAGTCTATCAAGCTTTAAAAGAGGAAGGAAAGAGATTACTAAACAAAAAGGTGTTTTAGATTAAAAAAAAAAAAAATCATCACTGCCCTGGCCAGGGTGGCTCAGTTGGTTGGAGCATTGTTCCATACACCAAAAGGTGGTGAGTTCGATTCCTGGTCAGGGCACATACCCAGGTTTTGAGTTCGATCCCCATCACCATGTTTCTCTCTCACATTGATCTCTCTCCCTCCCTCCATTCTTTCCTCTAAGATCAATTTTTTAAAAAAATCACTGAATGAAGTCTGGAAGTACTTATATCATAGAGCCTTGAAAGACCAGCTAATACCTAGTTACTATAAAGCTTGCTTGATCTGGACTCAAGGATACCATCAGCACTGCTATGTGTTTAAATATCTTGGTCTCCAAAATTCAATGGAAGGTTCTATACACTTTTGAGAGCAAATTCGGTGGTAAGAATGTTTCTGATATTTTCTATGAGTATAACTTACAAAATAAGCACTTTGAGAAAAGTAAACAATAAATCAAATAGAGGCAAAATAGTTGTGTTTTATATTCAGCCTTAGAAAACTTCAGGGCATAGCATGGTAAACTGCAACGTATATTAGATTCTCAAGATTGATATTTGCTCGCCATACAGTAGAACTAATTACACATACAGGTATTGTTTGCTTTCTTTGTTGTTTCTAATCCATAAGCCTTTGTTGTTTTAAAAACAGACTTTAGCCTAATGGTAAATTCTGAATTCAGATACAAATGGAAAATTGTTTCCCTTTCCAAGAATGACTGGACTTAAGACATTTTGTTCTGGCCTTTAACTAGCTATGTCTTAAGAATCTTTTCTCTTTAGTGAGTATAGAGCTACTAGAGATTCTGGTCGATGGCAGAAGCCAACCTAGAAAAAAACTAACGTTTTCTGTTTTCCTGTTAATGCTTTTCCCAGGTCTACAAAAGAATAACATGGAGGCAAAAGAATAATTTGGTGGTTAAGAGAACACAATTTTTAGGTTCCAATTCTGCTAAACGCTAGCTATGTGACTTTGTAATGTAATCTAAACCCCAATTTCTTCATTTGTATGTAGATAATAATAGTACTTTTCTCATAGTATTGTTCTGAACAACTGCCTTTAAAGCACTTAGCACACAGCATGGAACTAAGCAGGAACCCAAATAAGTTAGCTTAGCACTGTTAATAACATTCAGGTGCTAAGCCACAGACTTCATGAGAATTAAGTGGAACTGAATGGTTAAAAAACTATATAACTGTCTAAAACAGCAAAGGCTTATGTTCAAAACAGTGTCCTATGGGTGCTGCTACTGATTGTGGAGATTTTCTCTTTCTTCTGCCTTCAGTTTTTAAAAAATTGATTTCAAATAAGTAAACTTATTAGGGTCTAGTCTTGATCACTTCTCTAGCTCCTATATTGCCCCATTCCTATGCAGACTGGCAAATATCATGGCATAACAGGTGGCTTATATTATTTTTAGGTATTTGCATCACGGTTTAAATAACACCTTGTTTTAAAGCAAACATCTATTCAATTTTTGGCAGACCCCTATCTACGCCCCTATGAACACCTGCATTTAAAAGTAGTTCATCTGATTCTTTCATTCCTCTTTTTGCTTAACAATGCCACATTCAAATCATTTCTATTTCCCGTTCAACCACACATACCTGTAAATAAAGGGAAGAATTAGAGCCATGGGACATCTTTTGCACCATCCCATCTTTTTGTAGGATGCATTCCTCCAAGTGAATCACATTTGGATGTTGGCTCTTGATACTGCTTAGGGCCCAGAACTCGCGCAGGGCTAGTTCAACATTCTCAGGAGCATGGCATCGAATTTTCTTCACTGCCACGCGTGCAGAGGTCTTTCTGATGACTGCTTCATACACAACACCGTAACTACCTCGGCCTACCTCCCGTATTAGATCGTACTTTGGCTGGCTACTCACCATCTTCAAGGTCAAGGCTTCTGGAAAAATCAACAAAATGCTTTATTCAAATTAAGCATGCCTACTGGCTTGTATTGCTTCTTATGTATGATTTAGGTATCATTTCTCTGTTTGCAATGCTTAAAAGGTATTTGCTATACCTTGGGCAAATCTAAACATTTTAATAACAGTAAAACAGCTAACATTAATGTAGTACTTACCATCTATTAGGAACTGTTTCAAGCAATTTTTAATACAGTTTGGGGCAAAAGTAGGTTTATAGTTGTGACTACGCACAAGTTTATTCTTTTTTTAATATATAATTTTATTGATTTCAGAGAGAGAGGGAGAGAGAGAGATAGAAACATCAATGATGAGAATCATTGATTGGCTGCCTCCTGCAAGTCCCCTACTGGGGATCAAGCCCACAACGGGGGCACACACCCTTGACTGGAACCGAACCCGGGACCCTTCAGTCCAGAAGCTGAGGCTCTATCCACTGAGCCAAACAGGCCAGGGCAGAAGTTTATTCTTGTATTATTATTAATTATTGTATTATTTTCTGTACGAACAACAGTAAACCTATTTTTGCCCCTCTTTGTATTCTGGATATCAGCCCTTTGAAACATAGATGTGTTAACGCACTGAATCCTCATAATAATGCTATGAAGTAGATACGACTATTGTCGTTTTATAGGTGAGAAAAGGGAAGCATGGAGAGTTTAAGCAACATGCCCAAAGTTGGCTAGTAACTGGTGGTCCTGCGATTTGAAACCAGGCCACCTGGCTCTGACATCCGCAGTGTTAACCACTGCACTATACTGCCTCTTACAAAAACCGCCCCAATAGTCACTGTTAAAAATAAACCAAAACATTCAGCATTCTTACTGATCACGAAAAAAACAAATGCCAGCTTCTCTTTAAAGCTGACACACACACATCAAACACCCCTCACGGTGAGAAATGCACACACCTGGCTTACGCTTCGGGGCTGAAAGTGAGCCAGAGCACATTTAGAAATGAAAACGTGTCCTTGTGTAAGTCAAAATGTATATGTTCCTATTTTAACTTTATGTCACTTCCTTATTTCCCGCAAACTAAATGAGAATAAAGTCTGTGGAGGAAAAACACACACAACACGTTCCTTACAGTGGTTCTCAACCTTCCGAATGCCGCGACCCTTTCATACCGTTCCTCATGTGGCGGTGACCCCCAACCATAAAATGATTCTCGTGGCTACTTCGTAACTGTCATGTTGCTACTGTTATGAATCGTCATGTAAATATCTGATATGCAGGATGTATTTTCATTGTTCGCGACCCACAGGTTGAGAACCGCGGCAAGTAAAGGCAGCTACTTAGAATAGGATTCCCTTTCTGCTGTCGAACAATAGTTATTTAGCTCTAGGTCATTTCTGCCAACAAACACTGTCCTACACGTCAAGGGGCTCTCTTTGTTCGGGGAACAAAAAGCCACCGGTCCTGAGGCTGACGGATTGGGAACAGCTACTTTAAGTCCACGGGACGATGGAATCGAGAAAACGAAAGCTTCCGAGATTGCTCCAGTCCCGCGTCCTCGGGTGGACGCCCACCCTGCAAAGCCCAGCGTGCGTCCCAGCGTCCGGTTTCCCGGCCCAGAGCGCTCTGCCCGGGCCGCACAGCAGACTTTCCCCTCGGCTTCCCACGGCCGCCGGCGCTGCCCACCTCCCAGCGGCGGCGTCTGTGGAACCGTCCCGTCTCCCCGGACGAAGGAGCACCTCAGGGCGGGGAGGGCGGGTGCGCACGAAACCCTCGCGATCCGAGCAAAACACAGCCGGGCGATGCACCCCGTGCTCACCTGCGGGACTGAGGCGGGCACCCGGGCCCGCCCTGCTCACCCGGCGCCCGGTCGCGGGCCGGCCCGGCCGTCCACCTGCTGGTGCCCGGGGAGGGCCGGTCCCGGGCAGAGGTGTAGCCGGACGCGGCAGCGGCGGGCCCAGCTCATTGGCCAAGTCTCAGGCCCACCCCCTCCCCAGGCGCGTCCGGACCAAACCCGGAGGGAATGCTCCCCAGGCCCCGCACCCGCAGGGGCCCGTCCTGCCGCGGCCCCAACCCCCGGGGGCTGGCGGCTGAGGCCGGGGGCCCGGGGCAGAGGCCACAGGCCCAGAGGAGGCCGGGGGCCTGAGGAGTGCGGGCCGGAGGCCGGAGGGGCGCGAGGCCCTCCCCAGGAGGACTCCGCTGACAGGGCTGTGACAGGCCCCCCGGAGGGGCGGGCACCTGCGGGGCCCCGGGCTCTGCAGCAGGGCCTCTCCGCCGGGCTGACGGGCCGGATTTACCTCAGGGCCGCCGCCGCCGCTTCTCCCTCTCACGGGCTCTGCAGGCCGCCATTATCGGGCAGCTCGCGCCTCCGCCGCCGCGGCCTCCCGTCAGAGGCCGGCGCGCGCCCCCGTGCTGCGCGGACTCACACCCCGACGCCGCGGGCCCCGCCCCCTCCGGCTTGCCGTAGCGCGAGCCGGACGCAGCGCGGTCCCCATTGGGCGCGCGCCCCGCGCTCCCGGCCACCTCCGCGCTCCCCGCTCCCCTCGCTTCCAGGAGCCGGGAGCCGGGAAGGTGTGCGCGCTCCGGCACGCACCACTCCGGTCCCTCCACGCAGGGGAGGCCGGGCCCGGGAGCGAGGAGGCCACCCCACGCTGGGGACTCGGTCGGCTGCGGCCGCAGCGGGCGAGCACGGCCCGGGCCCCGGGCTGGTCCTCAGAAGCGGGTCTGGGCGCGGGGCGCACGCGCTCGGCGCGGCCACCCCTCTCCCTTTCGCCCCCCTGCCGACCTACCCAGCGGCGGGCAGGTGTGCGAGGGTCGCTGGGGTCGGACGCCCGGTGCATCTTCCTTGGTGCGGGCCGAGGGTGCGTGCGGGAAGCGGAGCGCCTCGGCGGGCCCGCGGGGAGGCGCGGCCCGAACTGGGAGGCCTGGCGTCGGCCCCGCCGGGAGAGAGGCGGCCCCTTTTGTCAGAGTCTCCGAGCCATGTCTGCGGGCGGTGCAGTTGCCGAGGCGGCCGCGGCGCCGGGCTGGGTGCGCTCATCTGGGAAGACGCCGTCCCCTGCCCCGCCGGCGCGGTGGTATCTCCCTTAAAGCAGCCGGCGCCTCATTGTTCCGGGACCGCGGCCGCCGGGAGTCGGGGGCGCCCAGCCCAGCGCGTGGAGAAAGGGACGGTGGCGCCCGCACCTGGCCGCTGTCACCCGCGCGTGTCCTGCTTGACGGCCGCAGCCGCGAGCTCGTGGAGAGTCCAGACCCAGCGGGCGCGGGGCGGGAGGCGGCGGGCGGAGCCGGCGGGGCCGGGATTGGCGGAGAACGCAGCGGCGCCCTCGGGCCGGCGGTCAGCCCAGTCGTTGGGCCAGCGACAGCCGGCGGTCAGCTCTCAGCGCGCGCTCGCCTGGCCAGCGCGGGGCTGTCAGTTCCTCGGGGACCAGAACCGTCCGTCATTCAGTCAGTTACCGAGATGAGTGAGCATCGCCGAAGCGTCCATTCCTTCTGCACCTATTGTGCACCTCCTGTTTGTCAATAGGCGGTCGGTCCTCCTCCCAGTGCGGTGTGAGAGAAGGTCTAAATTATCTCCCCTAAACCTAACCAAACCCCACAGGCTTTATTGTTAACGCTATTTTTACAAAAACGAGGAGACAGGCCTCCGACTTATTTGATCTGAAGGTGTCTGTTTCTTGGAGGGAGGGTGCCTGCTTTGAATACTCACACCCCTAGTGTGACACCTCCCTTCCCTCCATCCCGCCCCCCCAAAAAACTTCTGTAATCTGTGCCAGGCTTTTGTCCTGAGTGCCATGCACCAGTCTTCACCTTTCTACTGGGACTACTGAGGTCGGCCGAGGCTTGGTTTCTGCTCTTCTTGAAAGTAGAAGGAAATAAGGAAGGCTCTGTGGACAGCTAGCTACCTGTATCGATAATTGATCTGAATCCGGGGATGGATATCTCTAGGCCAGAGGACGCGTCTTTTGTTTGTCTCAGTCATTAACTATAGGAACCCCTCCTTTCAAGCTGGCGGCAGAACAGACTTGAAATCCACCCCCCTCAATCCCCAAAGCACAGCTGAGTCTAGTCTGTGAGGTGGATTCAGGACTGTGGAGCTTAAACTTAAACAATTTAGGGTGTCCTCTTTAGGAAAAAGATTACAAATTGGCCCTGTAAACATTGCTGGGGCCTTGGAAACGGTTTCATTTTTTTATAAATATATATATTTTTATTGATCTCAGAGAGAGGGAGAGAGAAACATCAATGATGAGAGAGAATCATTGATCAGCTGCCCCCTGCACACCTCCTACCTGGGTATGTGCTCTGATGGGGAATTAAACTGTGACCTGGTTTACAGATCGCCGTTCAGCCACTGAGCCACATCAGCCCGGCAAAGAAAAGTTATTTTTATAGAATTCCAACTAATAAACACCGAAGAGATTATAGCATAAGAAAAGTATGATTTTGCAAACGCTAATGAGATACTGCATCTAGGCAAAGACCATGTAATGATGCTAAAACATTTGGGTGAAAAATTGTTGGGTAACTTTGAAATGGAGAGCTTAGGCTGACACAGCCTAAACCCACTAACCTGTCTTAAAATCACTTAGTGCTCTTCATGGAATATTCTTGCAGGGAAAAAAAAAAGAAAGAAAATAATCTAAGCCTAATTAAGTCAAGATTCAATTACTTAGCTAGGTTACCATAAATATGGGGGACAGGCTATCACCACAATCAGCCAAACTCAAAATGTGGGACATTCAACAGGACAAGTGACCTGGTTTCTGCAACAAATTCATGGCATGAAAATAAAAAGGGAAGGTAGAATATTAAAGCATAAAAGTCAAGACTTTACCAAAGGCAAAAACATTTGGATCCTGATTCATGTGAGCCAACTGTCAAAATGCATCTTTGATACAATCTGCGTTCTTTATATGAACTGATAAATTAAGGACTTTTCATTTCTCTTGGTTAGGTATGATGGCGGGTAGTTAATCACTTTACAAACAATCACGTTTAAGCTACATAATCTTTTTTTTTTTTTTTAAATATATTTTATTGATTTTTTACAGAGAGGAAGGGAGAGAGATAGAGAGTTAGAAACATCGATGAGAGAGAAACATCGATCAGCTGCCTCCTGCACATCTCCTACTGGGGATATGCCCGCAACCCAGGTACATGCCCTTGACCGGAATCAAACCTGGGACCTTTCAGTCCACAGGCTGACGCTCTATCCACTGAGCCAAACCGGTTTCGGCAAGCTACATAATCTTTACTCCCTGGAATGGAGATAAGAAACACCCTAACCTTTGCAATAGAAATTGACAGGATTAAAATCAACTAGTATAAATACAGATGTAACAAGACAATAAACAGCAGAACTTCGCTGGAGATCCTGAACAGAACTTGGCTGGAGATCCTGGCTAGAGATCCTGGCTAGGCTGCTGATCAACTGAACGCTGTCTCCATGTCATTCCTTCTTCGCCGACTCCGTCCACACCTTTGGGGACCCCTGGACCTGCTGGGGTTGGACCCCAGCATCTGGCGCCCGAACAGGGACCCCTAGGTAAGCCCCACTCTCGGGATGGATAGGACTCCACCGTAGGAAGAGGGTGGATAGTCTTCGCCGACTCCGTCCACACCTTTGGGAACCCCTGGAACAGGATTCCCCTAGGTAAGCCCCCCCATTGAGAACCCCACACTCGGGACAGATAGGACTCCACCAGGGTACTGCAGACCCCCCTATAGAGGATAAGTAGGGTAAGAAGGTGGATAGTACAGAACTTAGATTGAGAAGATGTGCCATACTGAGTCCAAAGAAAGAAGACTCTGTATTGATCTTTAGATTAAGAAGGAATGACATGGAGACAGCATTCAGTTGATCAGCAGCCTAGCCAGGATCTCCAGCGAAGTTCTGCTGTTTATTGTCTTGTTACATCTGTATTTATACTAGTTGATTTTAATCCTGTCAATTTCTATTGCAAAGGTTAGGGTGTTTCTTATCTCCATTCCAGGGAGTAAAGATTATGTAGCTTAAACGTGATTGTTTGTAAAGTGATTAACTACCCGCCTGGCACTTAGTTAAGGAGTTTTATTCCCTCCCTAACTTCAGGGAAAAATCCTTACCTGGGGAAACCTTTCTCGGAGAGGTGACCTTGGTTAAAACACATAGCGCTAAGGGGAGCAAACATATTGAGAACAGTATGCTATATACGCCAGGTCCCTTGAAACATATGCTGTGCAGATGTTTCTTTCCTGCAGCGACTGTGTCAAGCAGCAAGGATGGACCGGCTTCTGGCAATAATGGATAAAGTAAAAGTGTGATCTGGGATATGCTTTAAAAATACCCCACAGGCAGCATAGCAAACCAAAAGAGGAGGAGATTGGTAGAAGGTTGGTAATTGTTGAAACCTGGTGCTGGTAACATAGGGTTTGTATACTACTCAACTTTTGTGTACGTTTGAGTTTTTTCATAAAAAGTTAGAAAACCATGCTCAAAAAATGAATGTGTTAACTAGGAACTTGGATGTAGTGTTCTAGCCCCCTGCTGGCAGATTCTGTTAGCACAGCTACTGCCCCAGTCACTGAATTCCCAGACCTGTTTAGAGGAGAAACTTTACCAGTATTTATAAATCTTACAAGAATCCTACAAAATGGATAGTATTAGCATACCATTTTACAGCTGGGGAAACAGACTCAGAGGGACTCTGTAATTTATTGTATTTTAAGAAATAGGCTTTTATTGATTTCAGAGAGGAAGGAAGAGGGAGAGAGAAACATCAATGATGAGAGAGAATCATTAATCGACTACCTCCTGCACACTTCCTCCTGGGGATTGAGCCCAAAACCCTGGCATGTGCCCTGACCAGGAATTGAACGTTGACCTCCTGGTTCATAGGTTGATGCTCAACCACTGAGCCACACCAGCTGGGCAGGACTCAATAATTTCGGTTCCTAATAAGTCAGTGGAGCCCTAATCGGTTTGGCTCAGTGGATAGAGCATCAGCCTGCGGACTGAGGAGTCCCAGATTCGCTTCAGGTCAAGGGCATGTACCTTGGTTGGGTGCACATCCCCAGTAGGGGGTGTGCAGGAGGCAGCTGATGAATGTTTCTCTCTTATGGGTGTTTCTAACTCTATCCCTCTTCCTTCCTCTCTGTAAAAAATCAATAAAAATATATTTTTTAAAAAGTCAGTGGAGCCAAGATTCCATGTTCTAAGTTCCATAGATTGGTGCTTCTGGATCTTACTTTTTCTACTCGAGCAAAGGGTCACATGGGAAAAGGCAAGTGGAGATGCCCCTAATGAGAATGGATCCATAGGAAGCATATCACCTATGAACAATAGATAAGTAAAGGTAAATAGGTAATATATATAAGTCAGGCACAGTGCAAAGTGCCTGTCTATGCACAATTCCATTTACTCCGCAGTTATCCTGGGAGGTACACACTTTCACTTCTCCCCCTTTACAACTGAGGAAAAAGAGGTCCTAAGAGATGAGAGGACTTGTCCAAAGTTACATAGCTAGGAAATATCTGAATTGGAACTTGAACCCAGGTCTGACTATAATGCCTGAGTTCTTTAAATAATTTTTTGAGATATAATTTACACATAGTGAAATGCTTACATATGCTTCAGTTTTGATCTATAGTAACTATTGTATACTGCTTGTCTTACTTTAGAATGAATACAAATATTAATTCTTCATGGATATTTTATTACTTTTTTTTTCTAAGTAAGAATGGAATCATGAAAGAGAAGAAACTGGTCAAGAAAGGGAAGGTGGACAGGTAAGGTCAAAATTCACAGTTCTGACCAGTGCTAATCATCCCTCTTCCCTCTAATGGTTCTTTCTTTCTTTCTCTTTCCTCTTCCTTCCTTCTTTCCTTCCTTCCTTCCTTCCTTCCTTCCTTCCTTCCTTCCTTCCTTCCTTCCTTCCTTCCTTCCTTTCTTCCTTTTTCTTCTCTCTTTCTTCCTTCCTTCCTTCCTTCCTTCCTTCCTTCCTTCCTTTCAAAGGTAGCTCCTTATATTCTTATCTCTTCTATTCTTTCAGTGGAATCTACATCATACCCTCTTAGCCGCTTAAACATACAGTTAAGTCAGTGGTTCTCAAATAGGGCAATTTGCTTCTCAAGGGACATCTGTCAATGTCTGGAGACATTTTTGGTTATCACAACTAGGAGATGCTACAAGCATCCAGTAGGTAGAGACCAAGGATACTGCTAAACATCCTACAGTACAGAGGCCAGTGAACAAAACATGTAGAGGACCTCTTCTCAGGGAGCTTACCTTCTCATGGAAAGAGACACTAATATACAGTTGTGGAAAGTGTTAGGAAGAAGTAGCTCTAGGTACCACAAGACTAGTAGGCAGGGACTGGAGGTAAGATGGGTCTTTTGAGTCACATTTATACTAAGAAATGGCTGATGAGTAGTAAATAGCCAAGCAAGCTGTGGAGGGAAGAGCATCCTAGGTCGAGGGAATTTACGTGCCCAGCTGCTCTACCAAAGCCTGAGCTGAAAGTTAAATCAGGATTTGGGGGAAGGCAATGGATGGAGGCAGGTATTAGGAAGCTCTGTTGTGGCTATAGGCGCAAGCCTTGTCTCCAGCCCAATGTTATCAATAATAAAACCCATATCTTTCTCTATTGAATGATTATAGAAAATGCTTAGGATAAAATGTTAAATGAAAAAAGTCTCAAAAGTTGTGCAGCACTTAAGTACACCATGGTTACAATGTAAAAATGATGAACAGGAGAAAAATCAGAAGGAAATGGAGTAAAATGGTGTTGGTGGTCGTGTTGAATAGTGGATGATAGGAGATGATTCTTTAAAGTTTCTTTGATAAATGACTTCTTTCCATTCTGTCTGTGATGGGGAAACTGAGGCACAGAGAGGTTAAGGAACCTCACCAAAGCTACACAGCCCTAAGTGACCTGGGAGGGAGGCCTAGCCAGAGCCTGGCTCCAGAGGCTGCAGGTTTAACCAGGAGGGAACACTGCCCCTCAAAAGCTAATGTCAAAAGCCTAAATTCAAGGCCTTTGTGGCCATAGCCTCTGGACAAATAGTTCTCCTCTCCCTGTGATTGACCCTGTCTCCTGGGATGCCCCCAATAGTCAAGCACCTCAAAGGAGTGAAGAGGTGAGTGAGGGTGGAGGACCAAACCAGAAGAGAAGAGGTGAGCAGAGGAGTCAAGACCTGCTCCAAGCAAAACCGTGTGTCCCTGGGTAGGAGCAGCTGTTCCTGTCACCCGATTCCCCACTCCAGAAGCCTGGGGAGGGCCCCTGTCCCAGGCTGGCCCTATTTTTGCCCCCTGTGGCTGTCCTGAGGCCTGGGCCCACAGGTGGGGTCCTGCTGTCCACGGGAAAGGTGGATTCCTAGAAGTTCCTCCCCCTCCCCTGCCCCATCCCAGACAACTCTGTTCCTGGAAGTTAAAGGAACTGGGCTGCAATGTTTACTGTGGCCTGAGCAGGAAGCCTGTCATTGGCTCTTACTCCCCACGGGAGGGTTCAGCGCTGCTGGCAGATGGGATTTCAGTTCCTGCCTAGCCATCCACCTGCTGTGTGATTTTGGGCAAGTTATTTGACTTCTCACGGCCTCGATTTCCTTATATATAAAACAGATGCTAGAAGTCTCTGAAGGGATTGAATGCAACAATGTGAGCGACACATTTGGCACCCTGACCTGGCACCCTACCGCACTCAAAGCAGGGTAGTTAGGATGATTGTTATCCTGCCACCCTCATCCTCTTCAAGGCCATGAAAGGCTTGGAGTGATGGGCTGAAAAGGCATTCATATGTCTTGGCTGCCAGGAGAGAATGCCTTTCTAATTAGCCCTGTCGAAGGAACTCAAAAAGAGTCAGGAGGCTTTGGCTAGAAATAAATAATAAAGATTTATTCCAAGGCCTTAGGGTGTGCCAATTGGAGGCACAACTTGGTAATACCTAGAGTGTTCTGAAGGGAAAAGAAAAGCTAAGCGTTCTTATAATGAAAAGTACATTGTTGGGAAGATCAGCCTTGTGTTCGTAGTCTCTGGGTTGGACCAAGATGGTGATCCTCTAGATGACAGTCTAGGTCAGTGGTTCTCAACCTTCCTAATGCCGCGACCCTTTAATACAGTTCCTCATGCTGTGGTGACCCCCAATTTCATTGTTACAAATTGAACATAATTAAAACATAGTGATTAATCACAAAAACAATATGTCATTATATATGTGTTTTCCGATGGTCTTAGGCGACCCCTGTGAAAGGGTCGTTTGACCCCCAAAGGGGTCGCGACCCACAGGTTGAGAAACGCTGGTCTAGATCAAGCATGTCAAACTCATTTACTAGTATTTGGCCTGTGTTAGCCTTTGAGGTGGACATGCTTAGTCTAGATGATGGATGTCAGGTGGTGTGGATACCTCAGTCCTTCAGGGGGTAATCAGATGGTTATCTGGAGGTTTAACCTATATCCAGGCATTGATACAGGACCGAACAGTTCAAAAAATTCAGTTCCCAGGCTAGTTAAAACAAGAATAGATGCCCGGCTGGCGTGGCTCCATAGTTGAGCATTGACCTATGAACCAGGAGGTCATGGTTCGATTCCTGGTCAGGGCACATGCCCTGGTTATAGGCTGGATCGCCACTTGGGGGTGTGCAGGAGGCAGCTGATTGATGATTCTCTCTCATCATTGTTGTTTCTATGTCTCCTTCCCTCTCCCTTCTCTCTAAAATCAATAAAAATATGTTTACAAAATAAAACAAAAAAACAACCTCAACCTACTTGATTTTATAATTTAGCAGCTCGACTATAGTGACTCCATTTTATCTCTTCACTCTTTCCCCAGCACAAACATTAGAGTCTGGTTATTAATACCCCACTGGTCCCACCAGCTATTGGCTTTAGCATTCCAAAAAGGAGGTGGAGAGGTGGAGAGGGTGAGGCTGGAACAGGTGGCTGAGGGCTGGAGGAGGAGCCCTCCCTCTCCGTGGGAACAACCCTTCCCAGCCTCAAAGGCTGCTTCTCTGCCAGACACTCTCCACCTGCAGGCTAGGGTCTGGGAAGGTGTGAAATTCCTCCATGAAGTCAAGCTCCAGGCAGTCAGATTCTCAGTCCCCTAAGGGCACAGCACTGTCCTTCCAGGGATCCAATGCCCAAGTAAGCAGGGCCCCTCAACTGGGCCCACAGAAGAGACAAAACAATTCATGGAATTGTGGGCTATTGAACGTAGAAGGGGGCTGAGAGAACCCCCAACCTCCCCTAGTGGTTTAGAGCTCAGCCTCTGGGTTCAGATAGACAGGTAACTGGGAAAATCTATATCCCTCAGCCTCAGTTTCCCAGCTGTATAATAATAATAATAATAATAATAATAATAATAATAATTTTGCCCTGGCTGGTGTGTGTCGGTTGGGTGTTGTCCTGTGCACCAGGAGGTTGTCAGTTCAATTCCGGTCAAGGGCACATGCCAGGGGTTTCAGGGTTTTGGGCTCAATCCCCAGAAGGGGGCATGCAGGAGGCAGCTAGCTGATCAATGCTGCACTCCCTCCCTCTTCTCTCCCCTCTCTCTAAAAAAAATAAAGTATTCCTTTTTACAAAAAAAAAATAAATCTAATTAAAAAAAAAAAAGAATTTTCAACCCTTCGTGTAATACAAACATTTTCATTTGGCTGCTGAAAGAAGAAATGAAATGATTTATGTAAAGCACAGGGCTTAGCACTGTAGCCCAATCTCTTCATGTCACACAGGACTTCTTTCTTGTTTTCCCAGGTGAGTGGTGGCAGAACTCATTCCCATTCGCTACCAGAGCTAACAATCATACCAGACAATACTTCTTTGTTTTCTTATGTTGATTTTTTTCAAAATAAATAACCTTCATTTTTTAGAGCATTTGAGGTTCATAGCAAAATTGAGCAGAAAGTACGGAGAGTCCCCATATAATAACGTCCCCCCCCCCAATTCCTTACCACTCTCCACCCCCATGCTCCCCCCACTATCAACATCTGCACCAGAATGGTACATTTGTTACAATCAACAATCCAGCATTGACAGGTCATTTTCACCCAAAGTCCGTAATTTACATTAGGGGTCACTCTTTGTGTGTATGGGTTTTGACAAGTGTATAATGACATGCAGCTACCAGTAAATTTTCGTACAGAATACTTTCACTGCCCTAAAAATTCCCTGTGCTTCACCTGCTGATCGCTCCCTCTCCCCTAAACCCCTCGCAACCACTGAACCTTTTACTGTCTCCATATTTTTGCCTTTTTCAGGATGTCATATGGTTAAAATCATACATTAGGTAGCCTTTTCAGATTGATTATTTTTCTTCTTACTGCTCTTAGAGAGAAAGAGAGAAACACTGACTTATTGTTCCACTTATTTATGCATTCTTAGTTGATTCTTATATGTGCCCTGACTGGGGATTGAACCCACAACCTTGGTGTATCGGGAAGATGCTTTAACCAACTGAGCTATTTGACCAGGGCCAGAGTGATTATTTTCCACTTGGTAATATGCCTTTAAATTTCCTCCTTGTCTTTATGTGACTTGAGTAGGTTGTGGGCTTTTTTTTAGCGCTGAATAATGTTCTGTACCATAGTTTACTTACCCATTCACCTAGTGAAGGACATTTTGGTTGCTTCCAAGTTTTGGCAATTATGAATGAAGCTGCTATAAACATTCATGTGCAGGTTTTTGCGTGGACATAAGTTTTCACTTCATTTGAGCAAATACCAAAGAACACTATTAGGTCGGAGAGAGCCCAGGATCGGATACATGCAGACATGACAAGATAATGGACTTCCCCTGG